AAACTCGCCTATGTTTAGACAGTGAACATCGAATGCAACGTTTTTTAAAAAGTTTAAGTCGCTATGACCATTTATTACGCAAGCAAAGATTTATAAATTTACATGAACAAAGATTTCTGAAAATATCGTGCATATTCAGACTAAAAAGTATATTTTCATTGGCTAGAATGTATTACTGTCAATACATAGTTATTTATTGAAATTATTTATTATCACTCATTTTATTTTAACAACCTTTTCATGTTACTATTCTGACAAATAACTCTACTGATTCAAAAAGAATAATCAAAATCAAATCAGGAGTAACGAAATTATATACAAAAATACGATTATAAAAATATCAGACATACTAAGAAAATTTACAAGGAATGAACAGATTATTTTTATGTAGTATTCTTTTCCGTTTTCAGTTTTAAATTAAAAAATTTAAACGTAGATTTTAAATTTGATTTAAAGTGGTTTAAAAACCAAACATTAACGTCACCTAGAAACATTCCATTTCAATTTACTGAAAGCAATCTTAAGCCGACATAAATTACTCAAATAAGTAAAACAATGATCGAATCGTTCTATCGAGTGGTTCAAGTAACAAAGGAAGGCTTTTAGTAAATTACGATCTTTTTGCTAAGTACCTACAGTATCTGTGATCCGATGTTGTTCGTGTAATTACTTGTGACTTTAAGTAGGATTGCGGGTTTGAGGCTCAGTCCAAGTGAAAAGAATTCCAGAGAAGGAAATATATGTAATTTTCTTTTGACCATTTTTGAAAATTGATATAAATTATTTCGTTGTAAGACTATTAGTTTAGAATACACGTATATAGAAAGATTTCATTTTACAGCCTTGTATTGAACAAAAGTTTTTATCACGCAATATCTTCTCTGGGGGGAATTGATGATAATCATGTTGATTATAAAGAAGATGAATCAAATTCTTAAAAGTTAAACGTGTATGACATTAAATTATATTTTAGATTCAATTTGTATACTCAATTCCCAAAGTATTTTTAATAGTACAGTATAAAGCCATATCTTTTTTAATATTAACCAATTTCAATAGTTTTTTAGGTTTCAAACTTCTAGTACTTTAACGAAATATTTTTTTAAATGATCTTTTTATTATAATACATATAATGATAAACCAAAGTTATCACAAATATACTTCATAGTTGTGTAGTTTATAAAATAAAAATTCTTAGTTAATCGCTGATTCCTCTGACTTGGGACGAATAAGCATTAGGAATAAAGCAACTGATAAGAAGGCAGATATCACTAAACGTACTATTGAATGGCGAATACACCGTTTATTGGGAATTGCATATCCATGAACATATTTTTCTATTTAGATACGAGACCATGTTCACAATATGGTAGTCTCACTTAGTTTTCATGTTGTTATAAAGTTAGGCTAAATCAGAATATAAACTTTTATATCAAAAATTATTTATAATAGTATATGATCGTATCGGATTTTTTTGTGGTCTTATTTACATGAAGATTCAAACAAAGATTTTATATAGATGTACCAGAATATGTAATATGATTAAAAAAAATTAAAAGGAATATTTTAAATAAATTTATTGAAACAAATATTTGGTTTAAGAGGTATTGATGTGGTTTGAAACTTCTCTTCTATATAAAATATACAGTACCTTAAAAAAAATTGACCCAAAAGTAATCCGTACGAGTTTAATCTTAAATTTATTTTACGATACAAAGTTTTCATTTCAAATCAAATGAAGTACCTCAGGCTATGTGGATAACCATCGATACGTTATCCTTGTTACTTCCATCACCCAAAAAGGTTCGATTGACCGGAAATAGTAGCTCTGTATTTACAACTTCCTCGCCGGGGGATGGCGGGAAACCAATTAATAACTTTTATCGTTTCCGTTGGTGGCGTCTCGAACAATTAGCGCAGCTATAAAAATCCTCACGGCTGATTGGGTGGTGAATTAAAGCTGGATTTGTGATACACAAGGGTTATAAAACTTACAACAACATACATATAGACGTTCATGATAAATTATTAGATTTGATCAAATACACCACGTGAACTACGAAGATTGTTGCGTTTAAGAGAGCCAATTTTTCTTTATTTAAGTCCTAAAATACACTTGATATTGTATGACTTACATAACAATGTCTGGAAGGTAAAGTGATGTCCTGAACGTATTTTATTGTTTGATTTCTTTCATTATAAAGATTACAGTAGTATTATAAATAATTTATTAAACTTATATTTTGTATCAACTGAAATGATGTAAATCAAATATTTAAAAAAATATGTATCCATATACACTTTTATAAATTAAACAAAAAAGAATTAAAACACAATTCTTTTCTTAAGTTTAAATCTTATTGATAAAATTTGGAAATATAGCCTAGTATTGGGAATTACAATTTGATTCGGGAAAAATTCTAAACATGGGACTTTTATGCGTAACCTAGAAGTACGTACGTACAGTACCTACATATGTCACATAAATTGCATACAATCTGAAATCACTGCATAGAGTAAATTTTAGGATGTCCATACCCCATTACGTAACATTAGCATACAAATACAAAAAGACTACCGGTTCAGTACAGGCACTTGAAAGATAATTGAATGAAAGATGCCTGCCAGCCTGCGGGGCGCGTCGTTTGCGGGCGCTCAAATCTACTTACCCTCTCTTTGTATTGACTATAGAGACATGCATGTGCGAAGATTTTGAACAGTTATTGAACTAATACAGCTTTGAGAAAGAAAATACTGGTTAGGATTATACTTATTTATTCTTAATATCTCAATGCTACCATCATAATCAGTCTATCAGAGCCCACTGCTGAGAAAAGCCTCTTTCTCACGTGGAGAATATTGAGGACTAATTACCACGCTTGCTCAAGACGGGTTGGTGATTTCAAACTTATAATTTGTAATTATAATCCCAGGTTTCCTCTCGACGTTTTCCTAAAGACATCAGTGATGTCTTAATACTCTCAGAAAATATATATGACTAGGAAAAATCACATTGGTACTTGCCAGGCTTAGAATCCGCGCCCTCGTGTACGAGATACGGGCCTTTAATCTCTAGGGCACCACGACCTATGCTATCTTGGTAAGTAGTATTGATAGAAGACAATTAATATCAATTTATCCTATAGATAGTTTTGAATGGTAATGATATTTCTCATACAATATAAACTGCCATATCTGAATTTCTTATCTCTAGTACACCGCTTATGCGCCTAGGGGCCCCTGTAATGACATCACAGTGCGATAGGCACTCCGCTCGCATCCAAAGATTTTTATCTAAAATGTAATGTTCGCTTACACCGTGGCTTTATAGGTATTGATAGCTACTTATCGATAGATGATAACAAGCTGTAATGCCTAGTTCATCCTTAATCCTAAGTATTACTATATAAAGCTTTTATCAGGTGTACAGAGAGTATTCTCTTCATATTTATATTTCGGTTTTATTTGAAAAATATATTTGTATTCAATTAATTTGTAATATATAATCTTATGAGGAAACAACAAATAGATTTTCATATATTTTTCATATACATTTTGGGTATTATAGTGATAAAAGGAACTTGTAAACAACAAAATGTTTCTATTTCGATATAAATCTATTTAGTAGTAAATAATTTCTTTTCTTTTTTGTTAAATAAAGAAACTCAATGAATTGATCAAAAACCTTTGTTTTAACAGACGTTGTCTATAAAAGGAATAATAAAACAAGATATCCGATATCCATTGTGTTCATTTACCAAACTTTCCTAATTAAGTTCTTACAAAACTTTTTTCTTTACAAAGTGGCTTCTGTAGTTCAGTCTCGCCCACGTTTGCTCGATAACTTCACTATTTCTTCTCTTAATAAACGAACAAACGTGTCCTAAGTATTATTATAATGATGATTTATTATTGTTATTTCTTGGCAAATATAGAACAACAATTTTTAACTGAGTCAGTGGTGGCCTAGTGGTTAAAAAGGTCCGCCTCTCATGCGCGAGGGCGCCGTTTCGATCCTGGAACGTACCAATGTGATTTTTCGGAGTCACATGTACTTTCTAAGAGTAGATATCACTGTCATACGGTGAAGGAAAACATCGTGAGGAAATCGGACTTATAATTTCACAATTATAAGTTTGAAATCACCAACCCGTCTTGAGCAAGCGTGGTGATTAATGATCAAACTTTCTCCATGTGAGAAAACCGCCATTGCTCAGCAGTGGGCTCTGATGGGCTGATGACATTGATGACAATTTTTAACTATCAACAACATTATTACTGACTAAATATAAAATTTTGGTAGATATATCAATTTTTTGTTTAGGAACAAATCATAAAAATATGTATGAATCTCAACACTTCAGGTTACATTTAAAGCAAATCTATTACAGTGAAAAATAACGATGGATGAATTACAGAAATCGTTTTTTGGATGAAAAAGAATATTTTTTTGAAGTCTGTTATTAAACTGTCTCTAATTTAACAATAGCAACATTCAGATTATATAGAATACTCTACAAACTTAATAATGACCTGTTAAAAATCATGTGTTTCATTGTTGTTATAATGAAATAGATAAATCGTTTACAAGATAGCCACACAGGAAATTCACTGAAGTATTAAATTTTGAATGTAGAATATATATTTCCAAAATAAGTCTACCAAATATAATAAAATAACTTATTTTCGAAATAAATCTAGATAGGGTAATACAAACATATGTATACTACAATGCCAAACTCGATTGGCCGATGAAAAAATCCTGAATGAGTATAAGCGTTCCTGCACACGATGCCGTCACCGCGCCGTCGCCGCGCAATTACTCTGTAGATACGAGTCGCGCGAAGCCCGCCACCGCGCCGCTCCCGCGCCGCCACCGCACGCGTTCCCCTCGCTCCTTGTTTGTTTGATTCATTCCATTACCGGCCGCGTACTAACGTGTTTGCGTCACGTGCGATCTCGCGGCTTGCACGTTCGTACGCGGCCGGTAATGGAATGAATCAAACAGCAGGGAAGGAGGCGAACGCGCGCGGTGGCGGCGAAGGAGCGGCGCAGTGGCGGGCTTCGGGCGACTCGTATCTACAGAGTAATTGCGCGGCATCGGCATGGCGACGGTGCGGTGACGGCATCGTGTGCAGGAACACTAAAAGTTGCTAAAAGGAAAATAAATCGTCACCCTTTAACCTAAAAATGTTCAACACAAAAACTATTACGCAAAAGGTTTGTTATGAATTTTATTTATTTTTTCACTATAAAGTTTTTCTTAAATTCTAAGCTCTGGGATTTTAGATTTTTAAAAAGAAACGAAACTCAAAAATACTTTTATTACGAACATACAATTTTAGCCATCGGACAACACTTTTCATGACAATTCAAAATAGTAATAAAAATAAAAATGTGAACGATTATTATGTAATGGATAATCATAAGTTTTCAACAAAAACAAGTCAATAGAATATTACTTGAAAACAGAGGAAAACTGTTTTATTTTTCTATAAAACTACTTAAACATAAGAATTACTTATACAAAAGAAACATTTCATTTTCTACATAAGAAACAAAAATCTTATATAACAAAGAAAAGCTTGTACATAAAGAGACAATATTAAATAAAATAATAATAAATGCACTGGACGTCTATACATAGATATACATCTTAGAAAATTTAAATTTTATGGTGGTTTAAATACATCTTGAGGTAACTATTTCTTCTTTCTCTTTATTTATGTATTTTACACCTATACTTAGTGTTCCACCATTCCCGAAAGTTTTTGTAAGTACTATTTTTTTCTCTTTTACTTTTATCGTTAAGAGCATCACACACTGCACAAATATTATCTGATTGAGACGGGTCTCTATAACTGTAATGTGACCACCATCTGAAGAACTCACTGTAGTATTTTGTATTCGTCATGACGTGAACAATCTTGGAAGCCATAACATACGGAGTTAGTTTACTAGCATCGAAGTAAGATCCGGGAGGTAGAAATCTATATAGAAAAGAGAAATTTGAGACACACATATGAAAGTGAATAGTTTAAATCTTATCTTTTTTCTTTCACTTTTCAATAACAACAGATTTTTCAAAATATTCTTAAAACATCTTCACCTGGAGTAATTAGCACCACCTCGCACAATTGGTACAGCTTTATGTTGTAAAGCAGTAAGTATCTTTTCCGTTACGTAATCTTCTGCAAATGAGTTTTCGAAAGACAGATAAAAAGCATAATCTCTTTCCAAAAGTGAAAAACACGTGTTCTCCTTATGTCTTGGACACTTAAAAGGACCACATTTACCATATATGTCCACAGAAAAACCGAATGAATACAAAGCGTTTTTCAATTTAAAGGCATACTTTTCTCTACTACTTCTAGTTTCGCAATTTGAAACGAACCAGGCAACAGCTTTGGTTTTGTTCTGTTTCAGCAATTCCAATTCTTCATCTTTAAAAAAACCCATATCTTCCCACTTCATATCTTTTTTAGGTCCAACGACTTTTCCATTTTTATCTCTTATTTGAATGTAAGGAAGTGGTATGTCTGAATCCAATCTATACGTTGCTGTCCAGTTAAAGAAATCATCAAAATAAGCTGAACATAAAGGATAATTATCAGCCGACTCCATATTGAAGTAAATAAACTTTTGATGTTGTGATCGACGTTTTGGAAGTTGAGACTTCATCATCTTTGCAATAGTACGACCATCAAAGGCGATCGCGTCAAATTTCGTTGTATCCCCATTGAAGAAACTCCTATCTGTTGTGACGTAACAATTTATATTGGTACAATTTTTCTCAATAAATCTCCTCTGGCCAGTGCCAAAGTATGATAAAGGGGCGTTTTCTGCTCCAGACCAAATCAGCATGTACTTAAGGTTTTCTGACAGTTTGTCAGCTGTCCTATAGACATCGACGTATCTTAAATCTTTTCCAACATTTTCTATGGCTTCTTGAACCAATGTATCAGATTCATTTACGAATTGAACCCATATTATCGATAGTGTAAGGACAATGCAAGTAGCCATAATAAAAAATAGTATAAGCTTTATAAAAATCATCTGAAAAAAATGTCCAACTGTGAAACATGCATAATTGAAAAGTCGGTTCTGAAAACAGAGACATCATAATTGTACAGACAAGTCGTTGTTTCAATATAGGAAGAAATTATTGACCATGATACATTTAGTGAAATAATTCTTATTATTTTTTATACAAAGTAGAATCTAAAACTGAGAATAATAATTTATATGTAATACTAGCATTATTTTTGGGCAAAAGAAACTTCATGTTAATTATGTATAGCCCATTTCAAAAGAAGTTGGCAATCTTGTAAACAAAGCAACTGACCACGATTACTCCGTTCTTCCGTACAGTGAAATGTCAGCCCTGATAATAATTACATCTCAATGAACCCACCACTGGTTTTAACAACCTTTTCACCTTTAAACAACTGTGTATATGTTTATTTTATTAAATTATTTTGAACAAGAAAATTTATTGCAAATGTCAAATTGACACGATAATTTTATTCATCAAAGTCTATTTGTCTTTGAAAAATTAGATGTGGACATATAGACCACTGCCGATAGCTTTTAAAACATAATTAAATTATAGTCGAATGAAACCCATTAGAAAAGGAGGGGAATATTATAAAAATTAAGGGAAAAATAATTTACGGGCGATCTGAGGTCGGGACGGGTACGGGCGTGGGTATTTAAGGGTAAAAAATGGGTTTTCTCGATTTCCGGAAAAACCAAGAGTTCTAATGAAAAATGTTATATGGCAAAGTTGTAGGTAATAAAAAGATCTAAAACTTTTGTACTAACATTTTTTCACATAACCTCAAATTTTATGTGGAAAATTCAAAAAACCAAGTTTTTGATTTTTTATTTTTATCTCTTACAAAAAATAATATTTTGTCACGAAATTTTGTGAAAACTTTTCTTTTGATATCACAAATGCACTGTAATTTATTTGATTAGAAATATATTTTTTTTCAGATTTTTTTAAATAAATATCAAAAAATCAGCCTCATTTTCAATCGAAAAATCACCTGGCAAAATATCAGCGTTTTTCAAAAATTTTGTGTGTTTTCTGTTTGTTGAAATCACTATTTTCCGATGGTAAAGAAAAAAATATAAATTTCTAACTTGCAGTAAGATTTTTGGATAAAATAATCATGTCCCTTTTAATGAAATGACACTCGATATCGTTTCGAAAATGCTCTTTCAATTTATTTTTAATAGTTTTAGCAGCTTAATGTCAATTTTCTGTAAACTACCTAAAAGAGGGACTATCTGGAAAACTTCCAGAGTACACAACTATTAATGCACTGGCCTAATAATAATTATACTATGACTACTTTTAGTTCGCGATTTTCTTTACTTTACTTTACTTTCAAACTTAGAAATATGTACATAGCTAACCGGACAAACTGTTTCTCTTTAAAGACAATAAAGCCGTTCTTGAACTATGAATGGTGTAACTGATACGACTTTCATTTTTAAATAAAGATATTTCTAATAATTATTATTTGGACTTTAACCAACTCACAAATACTAAGAAGATTTGATTATACTCAACACTATAGTGTATTCAACAGGCTGTGATGAAAATCAGTCCATCAACCAAAATTGCAGTTTTTCTGGTATTTGGTAGACGGAACTAAATTAATATAGGTACATCTAAAAAGTACAAATTAAACATTTTTTAAATCGTTAGTGATCTCGTAATACTTGTTGACCTTGATGGCATGGTCTTTGGGGTTAGCATTTTTAGTGCTATTGGGATGCAAACATCTCTTACATATTCTCGTTTGCATTCTGCATTTCTAAACTCATTAAAACAAGCTTATTAATAAATACGAGTACTTCACAATATATAAAGATGAAGTTATTTTTTTATATTAATACTTTAATGTAATAATTAAGATTAAAGTATCTTGAAGAGTACTCACATCACTAGGGCCATAGACAAGTCTTTGTCAATATCAGGTGATCACGTTTGTTTACAAGATTGCCAATTTCTATTAAAATGAACTACATATATGCATTTTGTATTAATAAGGCAAATTTATTGCTATGAAATTTGGTGATATGTGTTAAACGAAATTAAATAGGATCATATGTTCTTATTGCCTTCATCAAAATATTTTTTCACGCCCCTGCATAACTGAAATAGAGACCAGAATCATTAGACTTTTCTCATATTCTTGCAGGATTAGAACAACTTTCAGTAGTGTTCAAAAATAAGACCTTGGAGAATTGGGCGATTTTGGTTGCTTCCATGCTCTGTAAGACTGTAGAAAGTATACTAAACGAACGCTTTATACTACACCTATAGGATTGAGATTTTTTTAGTATCCGACAGCACGCGTTTTGCCGATATCAGCCAACTCTTCCTGTATCTTTTGATCCATGCCACCCACTTCGTAGGGAAGGTCTAAAATGCAATATACTAGCAAAACTAATATTTTCGAATTTCCTATGCGTTCTTTCATTACATTAAAGTACATATACTTGGTAACATATGGTTACTTTGCATCAACCGGGATCACGGGTAGATGAGATGGAACAGCAGTGTTGCTTTCTCCTTTGCTGTATGAGCTAATGTTCAATCAGGTTTAACAAGAAGAGATAGAAAATACATACAAGTCCCTACCTTAAAGCTCCGTTGCCGGAAGGTTGAGCAGAGTCATGAAACGTGACTACTATCGACACAATGTTTCCATATTGCTCTTTTTCAGGACAGGTAGGTTGATGTGTTAATATGTATTACATTCATTAACTCCCTGTTTGAAGTTATTTTACCTGAATATTTTGAAGGTTTGTTCAATTTATGCACAGTATAATCCCTTTTATACAGAGGCCTATATCTACGATTACCATATAAAATAATACTTTTAAACTACTTCGATTTCTTGCTATATTAAACTATCATAAAAAAATCACTTTGTATTCTTTCAAGCTTAAATTTCACCCAGTTGTATAGTTTTTGAAACGTCAAAATATTTTTTGTATTTTTTTATATGACAGTATCAGTAAGCAATTCATATTCTGCCAGGCTTCAATAATAAATGGAATATTAGTATCACAAGATATTAAATACACATATCTTTTTAAATATGCATATACATGTTATACTGCATTATTTTTATATTATTATATCAATTAATACAGAGGCATTATTCATAATTTAAAGGTATTCAATTTAACATAGCCGAGACTTCTGTATTAGTACAATGACTTTACTTATTTTGCTACATAAATTATACATTCATGCAATAATTTAAAAAGGAGACAAAATTTTGAGACCAGGACGCGACAACATTGACAGTTAAGAGCATAGTAAAGTAGACGTATTGTAGAGGAATGTGCTGTTTCAAGTTCTAACTACAATATTTTCTATTTGTGTCTTATATGTATCTCAAGTGTCAGTTCAACTTTGCTTTAATAACAAAAACATGATTAATTTATAATATCCGTGATGGTGTTTACGGTAATATATCTAAACTGCAAAACTAGAAAACATTGATTAAATTTTTCTTAAGAAAACCTTATGTTTGCCACCTCGGTCTTGAAAAGTGGTGATAAAATAGACCGTTTAATTCCCACGATAGTCAGGTCGATTCGATGGTCTGAAGGTTGTAGACGAGACATGCCCCTGGCGATGAATTTTTAATTTTATATTTTCTATTCGAATATAAATTCAAGTATTAGTTCACAACAGCTTCAATGTCAAAAGTACAATTTTGTCAATACTTACAGCTAATAGTAACTGCTCCACTGTCCAATGTCTCCTTTAAATTTTATTATCTGTGAAAATACTTATTAACTACTAAAATCATCTACTTTTTCTTTTTCAATAAGCAAAATGAAATTTAGTACCCTTTACCATCTCTCTGCTGTCACAGAATGTACTAAATCCATAATAAAAAGGAATTATCTCAAGAATAATTTGATTTCTTTGTGTAAGTTTCAGGTTTGATTAGTCTATGGCGTAGAAGCGTGCTAAAATAATAATTCATATGCATATGACATTGTCAAAAAATTCAAATCATGACAAATGACAATGTCAAATCTCACTTATTCCTTCCCAACGTGTAAACCCCAGTACTTTTAAATAAAATTTTCACTTGCTTATTTGCTTCTTTTAGTGACATCCGACGCATAAACTTTTAAACCAAGAGAAATTAGCAAGAAAAGATAAGTGGACTCCACATGTCAATAACCAACAAAAATTTGAAAAAGTGGAAACCATTTTGAGTCCGCAATCCAGGGTATTTTGGAGTTTTTATGCCTATATTACCCTGTGGTATTGTAGAAAAAAAATCGATTGCCTAACATGTGATGTACATAATTTTTGTAAAACAAAAATTTATTTCAAACCTCTGCCAAATGATCATTTATATTGGATTATATGTAGAAGCATTGATTCCTATCAAAAAAGCAATGACAAAAGCTTTTAAATTTAGATATTTTCTCTAGGGATCTTGGAATCTGGGGGTTTTGGGTTGGAAAGAATAAAGACAATATTTACTAATAAATAAAATACAACATTTATTATTAAAGATCACATATCATTATCGCGACAAGACGACCGAATCGTGTTACCGTCACCACAAATACAGAAAAGTTATCGACACATAGTACTGGCATAATAAATCCTTCGTAATATCAACAATCAATAATCTCCAACTAGATATTGTAGAAACATTTTTATTTTCTTAAAACTATTTACACCTAAAAGACATTTACAATAATTATTCGATATTTGACTATCTAATGATAAAAGAGCTCTTTAGTGACTTCGTGACAAAGAGATTTACTCCCCTGAGATTAAAAATGTACATATAAACCACAATAACACACGGCAGTGATTTTTCGCACCTACGGTAAATTAAATATTATTTGATTAAGTACATCTTGAGGTAACAATTTCTTCTTTATTTACATCTATATTTAGTGTTCCACCATTTACGAAAGTTTTTGTAAGTACTAGTTTTTTCTCTTTTACTTTTATCGTT